CCGTAGTCTGTATGGTAAGAAGTCCCAAATCTCAAATCTTCTCGTCTATTGGGGCTTTTCATTTCTTCTAGGCTTTAAAATGTGTGCTGCTAGACGTATGTACTTTTCTTATAGGGTATATATATAGAGAGAAGGCATAGCCACATAGTCCATGCGTTAATATACGTCAGCCCAATTCACTTAAACAGAGACAGTAAAGATTGCTCCCAGGTTGTCAGGTTCAAATGACCGCTACTGGACAATATTGACAAGGACTTTTATAGCATAGATTCATTTCAGTAATTTTAGAAAAATCATTTCAAAACATATATGATACATATGGAACATATTAGCCCCACGGGACACAGACGGGGAGATAGTGGATCTAGGAAAGGTAATACTGGATATCTGGTTCTGGGAGCAAGCCATGTCAGTTTCTGGCATACTTTCAGACACGTCATGCCTACATCAGAACATGCCTTCACCACACAATAAAAGGACTCAAAGGCCAAAGTCAACAGCAAAGGTGTATCTGCTGTGGACCCTTGAAGATGCAGCGTTGCAGTAACTTCTCGCAGTTGGATCATATTAATAATACCAAACTGACAGGAAGCCACCTCTATTTTCACACATCTACTCAAAAAATTCACAAAATCTGACTTTGGAAGAGTACCAAACACATATACACACACACACACACACATATATACACACACAATTAGAAACAAACACATGACAATGATTACAACCAGAGAGAAAGTTAACTCTTGGGAAGACGAACAAGTAGGCCTTTCAATAGTATGTTTTCGATAATTCTGTCTTAGAGGACACATTATTGAAACACTGTGCTGAAAATATTTGCCCCCAAAATTTTGGGTTTTTTTTAATGCCACTGATGAGGATTCAGGCATGCTTCATGCAACACAAAACGGCAGCAAAACAGGGTGGAGTCACATGGTGGAAACTGAGATACTTCATATTAAGAAATATGCCCAAACACACTAGGGGGAAAAAAAAAAAAAGCCATGAGTTCATCTCAGTAAACAGTACTCATCCAGGAAATCAGATGCAAAACATGGCAATTTATTAATTATTCTAAACCTTTACTGAGTACTGGCCCAGGAAATTAAGCACATAGGTGTTTATCATTGAAATGGGTGTTAAGAAAAAGTCCCGTGTAAGGGCTTAATCTCTGTTTTGTGGGTCAAAGGACACGAACTCTACTCGATAAACTGGAAAAGACCCAGGGAGGAGGAGGTCACTGGGACTGTGGGTGGTATGTAAACGAAATAGCACCAGAGTCAGGCAGACACCAAGAATAACACATCAGGACAATACAGAAACAGACATAGAAGCTGGAGAGATGCATCCTCCTTCTCCACTTTAATAGCATTTGTTCCCATCATAGGTGCCATGACTGAAAAACAGGGCTCTCTGCCTTTTCTTTTTTTAGGTTTCCTGCAAAGAAGTTAGTGCGTCATACAAAAGAATCGACAGATCAAACAACAGTAATATGCTCCTTTCAATCTGAATGGACTCTAGTTGGTGGACAGAGCTTTACGTATAAATATATATATATATGAATATATATGTATATATACTTTAGGCCAGGGGGCATGAGATATATGATAGATAGATAATACATATACATATATATATGTATATATTAGAGAGGTTGGTGTTTTCTTCCTGAATTCTTGGCAAATGGTTAGTCCTGTGGTTAGGAGTGAAGGTAGAGGGTGGAGGTTGGAAGAAAAGTTAACGGAGAGTGCATACCGCTTTCGGCTTCTGCAGAACGACAAGAAAAGAATTGAAAATCAAACAATTTGATAATAAATTGACTAACACCAGAAGGAAAGAAGAAATAAAACCTTTGTTTCAAATTATTGGAAGGAGGTATATGAAAACAAGGTTTTTCAGCAAAGCATGAAAACAGTAATATGAAGTGAAATCAACAACAAGGAAGGCAGTTGAAGACAGGTTTTGAAGGCAAGGGAGTTAAAAGAAGCAAAGGTCTGTCAATTACAACACCTGGTCCTTTAGAAAAACATGAGAAGAAAAGAGAGGGAATTTCTTAACGAAAAGAAAAAAAATAAATTAATTAAAGCTCTCATCTCAGGAGAGGTTAAAATTTGACTATACTGAGCCAAATAGTATACTATATTATGCCTAAGTCCTTGGTTTTCTCAGTGGTCTCATCCACATTCCCTCAAACACACCTTTTCCACAAGAACCAATGTGCTTCCACAATGATACTGAGACACATTTGAGGATTAAAGCTGGCAATTGCACACAGAAAGCCGAAACAGAGCCAAACAAATTCTGGAAAAACAAGTTTTGTGCTTTTCTGGAAAAAAAATTATATATAAAACTATCTATAGCTATAAAGAGGATTTCATTGAGAATACCTCGGATTGGTGAATCACTTGGAGAAAATACCTTGTTTGCTGTGAACACTCTTGGGATATTGTTCTGAGAATGGTCACAGCAGATTCAGACGGAATCAACAGCTTTCTAGTCACCCTGCTTGTTATCAAAAGTGGCAGGTAGGGGATGATGGGTTAAGGTTTAGGGATGAGTCTTGGGCCATAAAATGATTCCAGAATGGCCGAAAAGTACTTTTCAACATCAGCATCAACACCCACATCATGTGGATGCACAAAAGTGATTAAGAGAGAACACCGAGTTACACAAAGATTTACTGACTTGGCAACATGAAAAATATCCATTTTCAAAAACTCAGGGTACACATTTCCCCCTATACATAAGGTACAGATAAGTATTGGCAAAAACACAGGCAAATGGTAATTCCAGAAAATTCGACCTTATCTGCTGATAACCTGGATTTTCAGGTTTTTTTGTTTTGTTTTGTTTTTGTTTTTTTACAAATACAATATTCTTCATTTTGCCAACACAGAAAATAAAAATGTATATCTATATACATATTTTTTTTACTGTTATGGCCATGTTGGACATGTAGCCACCAAATCTACCATATTCTTTTTCTTTTTGGTTGATTTGGATTTTGAAAATAGCTTGACATATGGGATCAGATTGACTTGGTGAACAATCTGATCTTGAGGGTAAGAGAAAACATCGGATTGACTTGCTTACAATCCAGAGTGTTTTGGTTATAAGAGACACAGACTGTACATTTCAAAACTTGGCTTTCTTGGGTCATTCATCTGGAGGATGAAAACTCCGTAAATGCTGATAGCAAGAACCCAGCAGTGGGAATCTGAGCCTTTCTGGACTTTTCCACACTCTGCTTAAGGTACTTTTAGGAGGATACCTGTACAATGTGGACACCTAACCAAAGTTTATTTTTTAATATTTACTTTATTCTTGGTGAAAATATACATAGCAGATCATATACCCATTCACTAATCTGAATATCAGAAGTTCAATGACATTTGTTAAATTCTTCACACCATTTTGGCTGTATCTTCCCAGAATGTTTCCCTCTGCTCCATAAACTTCTCATCCATGCTTTGGAGTTAGTGTTGTCAGTTTTATCGGGTATATACAATTCTTCGGAAGAGAGCCACGCTCAAGGTGAACTTTCTTTACTAATCTAACTGGTTGCTTTGTTTGAAAAGGACTTCAGGGGATAGCTTAGTTTCAAGACCAAAATGTTTTCTCATAGCAACAGATTCAGGGGTTCCTCCAGCCTCAATGGGTCCAGTAAGTCTAGATCCTATAAGAAATTTCAAGTTTTGTTCCACATTACTTCCCTTTTAATCATTACTCATTATTGAACCCTTGATTCAGAAATGTTCAGTGATTTAACCAGGCACCATACCATCCAGTTCTTCGGATCTCATGGAAAAAAAGAGAGAAGTTCATAGAGTCAACTAGACCCATAGTCCAGTTCCTTCTCTGAGTCCTGGGTCTCCTTCTAAGGAAGACTTATTTACTATAGCTAGAAACATCTTTTTAGACAATAAAGACCTGGGGATCTCTCAAGGAGTCCTCTTTTTTTCCAAAACATTTCTGAATTATTTTATATATACAGTACCTCATCAACAAAATCCTTGTTAACTCAATGTGTTTCTCCTTCTTTCATGAACTCATATATTGACTGGGCAGACCTAGCCCCTCCTAAGCCTGATTTGCACTTAATTAAGTACAAAATAAATAAATGAAGCGCAAGCACTCTTGCCTTTGAGCCTCTGCTCTCCTGACTCATTTACATGAAGTTGCCATTCTGCCACCTGGATGTGGGCTGCACTTGGGGAGAAGAGCATATGGCACACAAAAGGCTGCTTGCAATTTGGCCATCAAGAGAGCTAATTTCTCCCATCACATTCTGCCCTGTTTCTGCTGTAAAGGAGGCTAGAACCCATGTGCTCTTTGCTCATAGCTGTCAAAGGGGCTCTAGGATAGGGTCTGCCCCCAATGCTAAGCTTCAAAAAAACTCACAAAAATACACTGCCATCCAGTTGATTCCAATTTATAGCAGCCCTATATAGGATTAACAAAACGAAATCTCTATGGGAACAGTTAGGCTCATCTTTATCCAGCAGTGACTGGTGGGTTTGAACTGTCATTCTTGTGGTTAGCAGCCCAACATCTAGCCTAAATGTAAGCTTAGAAGGTAAAAGGTCAAATTGGTAGAGATCTGTAAATCCCTCTCCCCCAGAGAAACTCTCTCTGAATGCCCTGGAGGGCTTGGGATGCAAGGCTGGCCTGGTGATTGGTGGTTATGTGCCGCGGAGTTGGTTCCCACTCACAGCGACCCTGGACAGGGCTTCCGAGGCTGTAAATCTTTACGGGAGCAGACGGCCTCATCTTTTTCCCCGTGGAGAAGCTGGTAGTTTTGAACTGCTGACCTTGCAGTTCGCAGCCCGACTTGTAACCACTATGCTCTGTAGTGTCAGATTAAGCATATCTTGAAATGCATCCTTGGGCAAGAGAGGCAAATAAATACTAGTTGAGAAAGAGGAAGTGGGCCCAGTGTTTTCAGAGTGCACTCTCACCATGACAAATGTGAACCAGCAGCAGGGTTGAGGCAAACTTACCGGCTCTCTCGATTGGCGGACTTGTACTCAATGGCTATCATGAGGAGCTTGAGCTTCACAAAACACAGCCTGCAACAAGATGGAGAAACCTCCCTGTCAGTGCTGCGGAGCGACCAGAGCCACATAACAAACACATTACAAACTCTCCATCTCTTGGCGCAGTTATTATCAAAGGGGGTCCTCATTCCACAGTCACTGTGCCAGAGGGAAGGGTGGGAATGGTCCCTCACGATCTTCCCCATTAAGCCTGATTTCTCTCTCGCAAGTGATAAGGCCCTGAACGTTCAAAGTGGAAACTGCACTCATGTCTGGATGTCTAGACAAAGGTCCTAAACAGGGATCTGTGCCTGGGGATTTATGCAGGCCCAGATTCATTAGTGACTCAGTTGGGTAGTAAAATGTTAACTACAGGGGGAGGAAGATAATTGGAGCAGCTGGACCTGATATTTGGAATGCATTTCAGTTTTTGTACAAATGGCTTAAATTGTTGTTTGGAGCAGACCCCTGGACGCTCTGAATTGTGGTAATAAGACTTAGCCTCCATGTAAAAGCCCAGGTTATGAGTATGCCTCCGTCATTCCTTGCCCCATTCCAATAAGTCTCATCTCATCTGGCCTGGGTTCTGACTGAAGCGAAGGCCCCAACAGCCTATCTCCAAGCCTTCACTCAGGAGGCTGTCCCCACCTTGAATGCTCCCTTCTCTCCTCCTTCCCCATCCTCCTAGGACCATATCAAATCTAAGGTTTCTATGTAGGTCTTCTCAGCAACCACCACACTTTGATTTTACCTTTTCAGAACTCCCTCAGCACCTTGTCTAGAACCACTCATAAGTCCTTAGTCAATTTCATACTGGCTATGGTAGTACTACGCATGTGTCGGAACTTTGTCACCTCAAGTACATTAACCTTTTGAGGGTTTAGGACTTGTTTAGAAATCCCCTTAGGGCTGTACAGAGAAGTACACAGCTACTTCTGGACAACAATATTAATAAATGTGGTGTCGGGAATTACTTAATAGGTCTCCTAGCTTTAGTCTTTGCAACAGCCATTAAATGACACTTTTTTGATGAGTCTGGGTAAGAGAAAGTGAGAGAAGAGACTGATAAGATGATGTAATTCAGTTATGAATGATTGTTAACAGAGTTCACTGTGATTGTAAATTACTGGAACTCGGACATGGGTATAAAATGAGTTATCTGAAAATTAGGACAGATGATCTTGTTACCATCAAAGAAGAAGAGCCAGGAAAGGAGCATGTCATTGGTCCCTGAGATCCCTGCACACTGAACCTCCTCAACCCAGAGCCAGAAAACTACGACAACAGAGGAATGGCAGAGGAGTACCAACAGCAAAGTCAAGAGCCAGAGCCGGAGACTGAGCTCTGGGCTTCCCAGACCACAGAGCAAGTCAAACTGATTGACTCTGGGCAGGAGATTTGTTTGCAGAGTGGAGTGCCTCCTGGCACTGAATTCGGTTTATCGACCCATGGAGCCAAAGCCAGGTGCGCTCAGGCTGAGGCTTACTGTGGAGTAGTTTGCTCTGTGCGCATTTATTGTCAGTCCTAACAGAGCTTTGTAACACTGCTGGAGCAGGACAGAGGCCAGAACAAGGGGCCAAAGCTAAAGCGAGGCCTGCCTGTGGGCATGGCAGAGGAAAGGCTGTCCCTGAACATTTCTAATGGTGAATTGCAACCTGTTAACTTTCCTAATAAACTACACAACTGTGAGTATGTTGTCTGTGCTCTGTGTGCTCACTGCAATGGCTTATGGAACCTGGCTGAATAGAGAGTGCCATGGGAGGGATGGTTGGTGGCATCTAGTTTGTGCAGTTAGTGTCAAAAGTGGGATTCATTACAATAGCACCAGACTCAGAGAAGCATGGGGTCGTGTAAAAGAACAAAGGAGAGTGGGAAATAAGGTTCAAGGTTCTTTTGGCTACTGTTTGCTAACTATAATGGCTGAAAAGAATGTAAGAGACGTTATGCTGAAACTGAATGGAGAAAAGCTGCTACTAGAGTCACCTGGGATGAAAGTCAAGCGGGCTAACTAAGGGTTCTTCGACCTAGTGTTGTAACATTCCAAAATGTATGCTAGAAATAAATATTGGATATCTTGATTACAGAGAGCTATTATGTTCACCATTAGCCTACATTTGACTGTTATTGTTAAGTGCTGTTGAGTTGATTCTGACACAAACAACCCTGTATAGGGTTTCAGAAGAGCAGCTGGTGAATTTGAACCTCAGACCCTGCAGTTCAAACCAACCATGAGATCCAGTGCTTACCCTACATTGCCATACCAGGATTTCATACTTGATCAGATACACTAAAGGGAGAGTTTGAAATTTCCTAAAAGCTGCAGTATTTTTTAAGCCTTTGTAGAGTAAGGGGCTTACTCAAGTAGAAACCTGAGTCCAACCAAGAGAGAGAGAAACGGGCTTTAAAAAAAAACAAACAACTGAGCAAGCCGTTTGCCATTAGATTTATCAAGGTAGGAAAAGTATGTGCCCATCATAAAAACAAAAACCTCTAGACCTGAACATTAAAGGGAGCCAATGAGTAGACAGTCTGGTATGCTCCCTGGTGATCACCTGGGTCCACTTGATGAGTGAAAGCTGGGGAGAATGCAGCAATGAAGAAACAGTTTGAGGGAAGAGAAAATGCTGGCTAGTGTGACGTTTAGGGAGTGTGTGTGGACTCCTGAACCTATAGGCACTGACACAGACCGTGGATGGTGGGTAGAAGAGAGGGAAGGATGGGCTAAGAGTGAGATAGGAAGAAAGAAGAGGCCAGATTCTCTGAAGTACAGTAAGGTCTGTGTGGACTCCCAAGCTTGCAGTTGGTACCCATTTGACCTAGCTAGGATTGCTACGGCTGAATTGACCAGACCCCAATCTAATGAAGACATGGATGTTTGCTACTGTGAGCTGTGCAAATGCCTGCAATTTTGATGGTTTGCTCTGGACTAGACTTTGCTTATGGATACAGCTGCTCAAAGTTCCAACTAGAATGAAGAATCTTTCCGTTAGAGAGCATGCCTGTCTCCTCAGAGGACTGGGTTGACAGGGACAAGCAACATAGACAATAGATATCTAAAATGGAAGGAAATAAAGGCATGAAGTGACTGGCTTACAAACTTTCCTGGGCATGCTCAGGTAAAATTATTGCTATCAGGAAGTTAATCCTGCACATATAAAAGGGACAATGGCTAGAAGGGCCAAGCGTGGCCTTTGGTGTCATAACTTATTTAATACATCTCCTCTAGTCTTAGTCTTTGTAACATCTACTAAATGACACTTTTCCTGGTGGTTCTGGGTAACAGAAGGTGGGAGAAGATACTGACAGGATGATATTATTCAGTTGAGAGTGACTGTTAACAGTTATGATTATAAAAACTTGGAATTCTACCATAGGTACAAAATGAGCCATCTCAGAAGTAGGAGAGGGGCTCTCACTACTGACTGGGGCACATCCTTTGCACCCTGAAAATCCTTGCACGTTGAACCTTCTCAACCAAGGGAAAGATATCTGTGACAGCAGAGAAGTGGCAGAGTATAAGACCATGCCATGGGCTTTCCAGAACTTATAGCAAGTAAAGCTGATTGACTTTGAGCAGGAGACTTACTGGCAAGAGTTGGCAGGGGGCTAGGTTTGCTGACCCAAGGAGCTAGAGCCAAATGTTCTCAGGCTGAGGCTTATTGTGGAGTGGTGGTGCCTGTGAGCATTAATCAGCAACTCTGAAAGAGTTCTGTAATGTTGTTGGATCAGGACAGACGCCAGGCCGAGGGGCTGGGAGCCAGAAAGAATACTGCCTGGGGCTTACACAAGGCTGTCCTGACTGGAAGAACTGTGTCCTGACCATTTTTGATCCCGAATTGTAACTTGTTAACTTCCCTAATAAACCACATAACTGTGTTTACAGTGTCTGCATTCTGTGTGGCCACGGCAATGAGTCCTTGAACCCTGCTGAGCAGACAGTGTCATGGGAGGGATGGTCGGTGCCACTTATTTTTTTGGCAATAAGTTACGTGTTTCAAGTCTAAGGAAATCATAGAAGGCAAGTTGTGACACTGATGTACAAAGATGTGCGAACAAAAGTTAGATAGAATACCATACAATATATAGCATTCAAAATGATTTCTTAAAGAATATTCCAAATGTAGGATCAACAGATAATATGTAAGAAGATACAAAAATGTAAATGTGATGCAGTTAGGTGAAATATATATTTACATACTTATTGAAATAAAAGTCCACATAAACAAATGAAAGCATTGCTATATTTTTCATGTAGAACATGCCCATATAAATAACATGGCACACACATAATAATATGCATGTTGTTGTGTTGTTATGTGATGTCGAGTCAGTCCTGACTCATCTCCATCCTGTATAGGGTTTCCAAGGAGCAGCTGGTGGATTTGAACTGCAGACCTTGAGGTTCACAGTCCAGTGATCCCACAGCACCACACCAAAAACTAATGTGCAAGGGGTTAATAGTTTGCAAAAAAAAAAAAAAAAAAATGTATAAGGCACACATTATTTGTGTATAATACTTTTCTACTAAGAGTTCTGAGGCTGTAAATCTTTACAGAGTCGGAACCGACTCCACGGCACCTAACCAACACCACTAAGAGTCACTGTTGTCAGGAATTCTTAGATAGTAAAACATTGCTTCCCTAACAGATTTAAAAATCAGTTGATGGTTATTGAATTCCACTATTATAAGGGCTACAGGCTGCGGTCTTTTTTGATAGCTTTCCTTATTCCCCACATTATTCCTAAGAAGGAGATAGTATCCCAGTTATTCAGACTTCTTTCTGTTGCTATCTCCATTTTATAGATGATAAACTAAGGCTCATAAAACCCAGATAGCTTGCCCAAGGATGCCACCTAGTACGTGGCAGGGAACATGGTACCTTTGCTCCCCAAAAGCATATTTTCTATTGGGAAAGACAGGTGATAAGAAGGTCTGTATGTGAACAAACAGTACATATTTCCAGTTGATAGTAAATGCTAAGCAGAAAATAAAACAGCCTAAGAAAATAAAGATTGTCTGGGAAGGTTTATCT